ATGGAAAGATCTTTTGGACAATGGCTCAAACACTTGGGTAATAGCTCAAGAGTAGGTGTAAACATTAAATTATGGTAAGATTGGAAAGTTAGAAGGTTTGAAACACAATATTGTGCAACATAGCATGTAGATTGGATCATGTGTTCTTCATCAAAAAGACTTGTAATTCAAGGATGGATGCCCAACTTCATGCCCTTGAATCTCCTAGCTCAAGTATGATAAATTCATGCTCTTGGATGTTTTGGAAAGCTTTAAACATCCTCTATAACTTTCATGTTGGCCATTTTGACAAAATCATCTTAGAACTATGTGAAAAAATTCTAAGAAGTTGGGATAAAATCTTGATCAAAATCTATTGAAAATTTCTCTAAGTGTTAGATGAAAATGTCATGACTTCATGGGCTTATATCTTTAAATTTAAACGTTATTTTGACATCAACCCTCTAATAAAAAGTTGTAGAATTTATCAAGATCTACAACTTCCATGTTAAAAGTTTCCTTTGAATCATTTTGCATCATGGTAAAAAAATGGTATGAAGTTATGAAATAAACATGTATAGAACACTTAGAAAATTTTCCAAGTCTTGGAAAGTTTGACTTTTCAAATTAACTTTTGACTTTCTTGAATTTTTTATGATCAAGATTTATATTCTTGAATGTCTTGATGAAATGTGATCTTTGAAACTCAAATTTGATCAAAAAGTCAAAGTTTGACTTTTTGGTGTATTGTTGACTTTTTCATCAGTTGCCTAAATTTCAACTATCAACCCCTTGATCTTGAGAGATGAATTGAACCATGAAATTAGGTCAAGATGATATATTTGAATACTTGAGATCATGCTCCAAGCCATTAGGTCCTGTATTAGGTCAAAAAGTCAATGACCAGTCGTTCTTAGTCAAAACCCTAGTTTATGGTCTCAAGGTTTTAGAGGTGATTTTTCCTGATCAATTCTTGAGAATCCTTAAGCATTGGAGATCCTTTGTGAGGAATGTATTGAAAAAGAGAGGTAAAATTTTGGGGTACAACATTATCCTTGGCATGATGGAGTTTTTCATTTCTTGGACTTAGGATTAGAAGCCTTGATTACCCTTGGGACCTTGTGACTATGTTGTTATTTTGTCTGGAGTTCTTGAAGTTTAACCCAAGATATTAAGTTGATTTTCTTTGTGTGATGGTTATTTTGATTATATGCTTTGTATTTGATTGAGAAATCCTCTGTATACAGTTGTTACTCTGCCTAATTTTTGTGAAGGCTTAATACATCTGAAGCTTGGTATTCTTAAGAGGTTTAGTATCTTCGCTTACTTGTTTTCAATCCAAAGGATGGGAATTCTACGTTGACTCATTATGTTAAGTGTTGGCTTCTTGTTGGTTAGATGGTTCTTTTACTTAGCTTTTACCTTATGCTTTAGGGTACTCCCTTCACCTCCTACGATCTACTTTAATTTCAAAAATCTTCTCCCTCTTTTTCAAAACTCTTCTTCTTTTCTAACTTGAACCGCTTTCATAATAAACTTTGACTTAGGTCCATGCATTTTTAAAAATCTTTTCTTAATCAAACTTTAATCAACTTAATCATACTTTGACATTTTTTGTGAGAAGACTAGAAGTCAATCAACCTCATTCAAATCATTTTTGCCACTTTGGATTTTTACTTTAAAATTTTCTCAAAAGATTAAACACTTGTTAATCCTTGTAGTGATGCGACCTACTATACTTCTATGAGATGTAGTGAAGTGAGATATTTTCCACTTTGATGTTGAGTGAGGATTTGTTGATTTTAAAATCTAAGTTATATCGTCCACTTTGAGATGGCACAAATTCTCCTTTCTCATAATCGTGGGTAGTAAATATGTTTTTCACTCGGATATGACGATGATGTCTCTTCTCTTAAAATTAACCAACACACTTGTGTTTTTTTAAATCATCTTAGAACTATGTGAAAAAATTCTAAGAAGTTGGGATAAAATCTTGATCAAAATCTATTGAAAATTTCTCTAAGTGTTAGATGAAAATGTCATGACTTCATGGGCTTATATCTTTAAATTTAAACGTTATTTTGACATCAACCCTCTAATAAAAAGTTGTAGAATTTATCAAGATCTACAACTTCCATGTTAAAAGTTTCCTTTGAATCATTTTGCATCATGGTAAAAAAATGGTATGAAGTTATGAAATAAACATGTATAGAACACTTAGAAAATTTTCCAAGTCTTGGAAAGTTTGACTTTTCAAATTGACTTTTGACTTTCTTGAATTTTTTATGATCAAGATTTATATTCTTGAATGTCTTGATGAAATGTGATCTTTGAAACTCAAATTTGATCAAAAAGTCAAAGTTTGACTTTTTGGTGTATTGTTGACTTTTTCATCAGTTGCCTAAATTTCAACTATCAACCCCTTGATCTTGAGAGATGAATTGAACCATGAAATTAGGTCAATATGATATATTTGAATCCTTGAGATCATGCTCCAAGCCATTAGGTCCTGTATTAGGTCAAAAAGTCAATGACTAGTCGTTCTTAGTCAAAACCCTAATTTATGGTCTCAAGGTTTTAGAGGTGATTTTTCCTGATCAATTCTTGAGAATCCTTGAGCATTGGAGATCCTTTGTGAGGAATGTATTGAAAAAGAGAGGTAAAATTTTGGGGTACAACATTATCCTTGGCATGATGGAGTTTTTCATTTCTTGGACTTAGGATTAGAAGCCTTGATTACCCTTGGGACCTTGTGACTATGTTGTTATTTTGTCTGGAGTTCTTGAAGTTTAACCCAAGATATTAAGTTGATTTTCTTTGTGTGATGGTTATTTTAATTATATGCTTTGTATTTGATTGAGAAATCCTCTGTATACAGATGTTACTCTGCCTAATTTTTGTGAAGGCTTAATACATCTGAAGCTTGGTATTTTTAAGAGGTTTAGTATCTTCGCTTACTTGTTTTCAATCCAAAGGATGGGAATTCTACGTTGACTCATTATGTTAAGTGTTGGCTTCTTGTTGGTTAGATGGTTCTTTTACTTAGCTTTTACCTTATGCTTTAGGGTACTCCCTTCACCTCCTTCGATCTACTTTAATTTCAAAAATCTTCTCCCTCTTTTTCAAAACTCTTCTTCTTTTCTAACTTGAACCGCTTTCATAATAAAATTTGACTTAGGTCCATGCATTTTTAAAAATCTTTTCTTAATCAAACTTTAATCAACTTAATCATACTTTGACATTTTTTGTGAGAAGACTAGAAGTCAATCAACCTCATTCAAATCATTTTTGCCACTTTGGATTTTTACTTTAAAATTTTCTCAAAAGATTAAACACTTGTTAATCCTTGTAGTGATGCGACCTACTATACTTCTATGAGATGTAGTGAAGTGAGATATTTTCCACTTGGATGTTGAGTGAGGATTTGTTGATTTTAAAATCTAAGTTATATCGTCCACTTTGAGATGGCACAAATTCTCCTTTCTCATAATCGTGGGTAGTAAATATGTTTTTCACTCGGATATGAAGATGATGTCTCTTCTCTTAAAATTAACCAACACACTTGTGTTTTTTTTAAAAAATTTAATGGAGAACTATGAGTACCCTGATCCCCTATTGCACAGAAGGTGGTACATAGGCACTAAAGGTTCGCAACCGCGGCAGGTACAAAATTGAAGAGAAAAAATACTTATTTTCTCATCTCCACAATTTATTTTTGTATACAACACTTATAGCCAAAATACACAAATTTTCAAAGAGGTTCATGCGGAGTACCGTAGAGGTTTAGGGTACTAATATCTTCCCTTTGCATAACCAACCCTCGTACCTAAATTCTCTCCCCCTCTTTTTTGGGTTATTCGATCTTTTCCCATTCCGTTGGAAATAATAAAGCGCAGTGGTGATTTTTATTTGATTTATACGAGTCAAGTCAATCCAATGGCTTTGTCTCAACATTTTTACCGCTACAGAAAGTATGCTATGTTAGTGACCTAATGGAATATATGTAGATGAATGCAAAATCCTAAGCCAGATAACATAAATTAGTAGCGCAAATTTTAGAATGCAACATCAACCACATGACCAATCCATGAAACATAAAGCTTATTTTTCTTATCAAGTTTATATGAGGAAAATCTCCAAAATGTTGCACAAGTGCATACACAAACATTGCCTACTTCAAGGTAGGACTTCAAGTCAGAAATTGCCTACTTTGAGGTAGGTCTTTAAATCAGAAATTTCCTACTTCGAAGTAGGTCTTTAAAACAAATCTTGCATACTTCAAGGTAGAACTTCAAGTCAGAAATTACTTACTTTAAGGTAGGTATTTAAATCAAACATTGCCTACTTCAAGGTAGGACTTCACATAATCAGAAACAAAAAAGATTCAAGTGATACCTAATAGAGAAAGGTCAGTTGCCTCTTCAAAGCCACACAAGCGATAAGAAAACTTTATCAAAAGCTTCCTTGAATTACCTTGATGAAGATTACGGTTTTAATTTACTTTGAAACCTCTGAAAATATTCAACAACATCATCCCACAATCGTGCTAACACATATCATGGATCGAGAACCACTATCATACACCAACGACATCAAGATATCTCAAATAAAATATCCAAAAATTAACACAATAATCGATCGCAAAAGAAATCTAACTAATTTCCAAAATTCCAAAGCATTTCCTCAAATTTTTCATGCAGCATTTTATCACCAAATAATTTATCAAAATTAATGGCAATAACAATTAATAGAAAACAATTAAATTATACACAGGGGTTGCAAATTGGATCAAAGTGTGTGGATCCAAATAGGCAAAAGGGCCCAACCTACTTGGTCCAATTCACAATTTTATGCTTCATCCAAAAACTAAAAGCTTCAAAAAAAATGTCCATGGGCCTCAAGAGAATATGATCCGGTCCAGTTATCATACCAAGATCCATCCAATTTTCAGCACATTTGCATTCTTTGATATATTTATTTTCTGATTTAATATGCCCTTTGGAATTCCATGAACAAACAAAATGCTCTTTTCTTCACACTCGCGAACGAAGCAATTTGCTTCACCTTTTCTGCACGATCTCCGCCGCAGCTTTCATCCTCTCTGTTTTCGATCAACTTCCACCGTGGATTTCATCATCTCCGTTTCTGATCGATTTCCACTCGGTCTCTTCTTCTCCATTCGTCAACGAAATCAACACGGTGCCGTCAATATCTTCATCATCGCTGAAATCATCCATCCTTTTCTCTCAATTCTGCGCGTGATACCCTTCGGTGGTGCATGTCGCGGACTCCGACGAAGCGCTAAGGCTCTGGTACATTCTAGTTTTTGTCTTCGTCTTCTTCTTTTTGATACTTTCTTGCTTCTCCTTCACTTTTGCGCATTTTTGATGTTGTTATTGTTGTTGCAGATGCAAAAGGATGTACACTACAATTTTTGCAGAAGATGATGCTGGTTATTGATCGAAGTTACAGAAGCTTGAAGAAGATGCAGATGTAGGTTGATGATTACATAGTTATGTTGATGGAGGTGTTGCGGATTGGTGTTGTTGATGAGTCGATGAAGAGAAGTGGAGTTGATGATTCAGAGAGAAATGTGAGGGGTGCAGATGGAGTGAGGCGTGTTGAAGATTGATTCAGGTTCAAGAAGATGAATCCCTTTCCGAGAGAAAAAGAGCTTCGGATTTATGGTGAGTTTCTTCTTGTATGGATAATGTTATCTATGTGTAAGTCGTGAATGAATCCCCTTCTTGATAGGAGAAACCCCTAATTCACTGATGAACTTGATCCTATATCACAAGAACCAATGTCATGCATGTATGAATGATAATGAAGCATATGGGCCACTTAGGATTAAATTTAAGAGGGCAAATTTTAGGATGTAACAACCAAGAGAGAAGATGATAATATTCTTAGCTTTCCGATCATAAGACCACTTTTTAGTATCATTCTCATTCCATAAGTCTTTCGGCTTTGGTATAGTAACATTATTGACCACATATATAGTAACATTATTGACCACATATATAGTAACATTATTAACCACATATATTATCAGTGTTGGACCATTTTGAATGGCTTCCCAAACACTTTTGTCCTATGAGTTGAAAATTGGGGTTGGCTCTTTTGTAATTCCCTTTAGGCTCGTAAGCCATTTTCTAAAGAGTGTCGAAGTTGGAATGAACCGGGCTCTTGATGCCACTTGTTAGACGATGCCAACGTATCTAAAGGGGGTAAATAGATGCCCCTTAAAAATTCCAGAAAAAACTCGTTTTGAAAAAGTTATTTTAATAAAGATTTTTGAAATAGTCGTCTATACGAACATTATTGGAAACTCGAATATTCAAACTAAAGAACAAATAGAATATGGAATAAGAATGATAATTGAATTAATACGCTTAAATCACTTTATAGCTTATTTAATGTTTATAGCAAGTTACTAGTAAAGTTATTTCCAATAGCAATATTAAAAAGAACTAACTAAATCAATTTGTAGAACACTTGATTTAGAATCAAATATAGTCTGAAAAATTTCTTACAATTCAATTGATAACACAATTTTATTGGACAAATTGATTGATGAATATCAAAGCAAGTAAAAGCAAAAATAAAAGAGACACGAGGAATTTGTCTTCACAGTTCCCCACTACCGTCCTCGCGTGTGGGTACGTCTGCGCCTAATTTCAAGGGAATTAGGATAATTCTTACTATCCAAAAAGTTTGGCCTAATTTCAAGGGAATTAGGATAATTCTTACTATCCAAAAAGTTGGAGAGAAGTGTTCAAGAGAAACTCCACAAACCCTAATGTTTGTTGTTGATTCAACCCATTATCCTCTTTTGATCTTGAGAAAGACCAAGACACAATAGATGCAAATTGACTATTTGGATCTTGCTACTCCTTTGTGTACTTTATCTCCAAAACTTTCGTGCACTCTTAATTTCAACTATTGCAACACAAGACTTCAATTGTAATCTGTTGTTCTCTCGCTACTTCATTTGCGTTCTTTATATCAAAAAAAGAACTCGTTCAACATGCAACAAAAATTTATGTAAAAATAATTCTCAAACAACTTAAGACTTCTAAACGAACAAGATGTCACACTAAACTCAGAGATAACGTCCAATATAGAAATGCTATATTCTTGTATTTTTGACATCATTCAAAATAACTTAAGAGACTAAATTTCACTCACATAAGTAAGGGCATAAGATTCTTATAAATAAAGGGCATAAGATTCTTATAAATAAAGGGTTATGGTCCCCAATGGTAGATTTTAGAAAAATATCATAGAATATTTATTCTCTTTATCCTATTGGAAGAAGAATTAAAGAGTTAAGAAATCTACAATTAGAAAGTCATTGCTCTACCAAAATCATCATCTTCTCATTAACATTTCATGGATCCTAAAGATACGCTTTTGCTTGAATTAATAAATATTGAATATTAGAAATCCATCCTGCCAACCCAATTCTCGACTTTGCAAACAAATGAACAATAGAAGAAACACAGAATTCCCATCATTGTAAAACACAAATTGATTAAAAAAGTTTGTTTTCTTCGAAATTTAATTATTGCCTTTGGAGGGAGTTGATGAGAGCAAGATTGAATCCAAGTTTAAGCCAAATCGTTTGGTGAAAGATTCCTAAGCAAATTGGCTAGATTTGCATTTCAAAGAAGATAAGGTAGTAAACTGCAGAATTAGAAGACAATTTCTTTTATTTGTATAACAATGTGATAAAGTAGTAATTTTTTCTGTTATGTTAATATAATTTTATAGTGAATTTTTAGACTCGAGATATATGGCTTTATCACTGATATGATCTTATATCAAAAGCATTTATACAATGTTAAACGTTCACCCATAATACACAAAATCACTCTCATACTATAATTGATGGGGCCGACATGATTTTTTCTTTTTATAGGAGGTCAAATGTTATTTTTAAAATACTTTTTTTTATGAAATATCAAAAAAAAAAATCATTTTATGCATTTTTTGATTTAAATTAGATTTAATTAGATTAATTTATTAGTTTAATTTTATTTAACTAAATTAATTTAATTAAAAATGAGTTGGGATTGATTTTATATTAATTTAGTTAATTCTTACTTAAAATATAAAAACACAAAAGGATACTATTTTTAATTTGATTTTATCTTGGTTACTAAGAAATGAATATGGATCTATTTTTGTATGATTTTCATCATGCCAATAGTATTCAATTCAATTCTTTTATTTCTAATTTAATCAAATTATTTTCTTCTCTTTTTAACATCTTTGACCTAATTTTTTTCATCTATAAATAGCACAACAATTTTTACTATCAGGGGATCAACAATTCTAACTATTCTTATTCAAAACTCTTTCTTCTTTCGGTTAAGTTATTCAAGTCCTTTTGTTCTACACAATTGAGGCCATTTTCACTACACAAAACCATCACACGTACATACATTTTGTACATACACACTATACAGATACCTATTCTCATTGCTCACTATACTCTCACACACACATTTTTATCCACTTTTTACTGACAAAAAAAAACTTTTTTTACATAGAATAAACCCTTTTTTTGGAGTATGGTTCTGTTCATATTTTTCATTAACAATTTTGTTAGACGATGGTGCCGATCTAAAGAGAGGTGAATAGAGACGCAAAAAATATTTCTAAACACAAATCTAGAAATTTATTATTTTTAAAAACTTTTAATGCGAAAGTAATTATCTGGATAAATCGTCTAATAACAACTTATTAGAAACTCGAATATACAAATTATGAGAGGTAAATCTATGAGACAAAAATGAATAATTGATTAATATAAATTCAAATCAACAACCCACTTATTTATTGTTTGAGCACAATCACTTTGCAATATTATTTTCAAGGCTAATTAATCAAAGAACAAATTTGATCTTTTACCAAACACTTGGCGTGCAAGTAAATTTTCACAATTTCTCTTTGATTAGTGTTGATTTATAAAACCACTTATAATCAAAATTGATTATAAGCTATATCCACACTTATTTCAAAAACAGATTTTGAGAGAAAAATTCTTACAATTCAATTACTATCACAATGCTATTTGATAAAAGATTGATAAGATTAAATGCAAGTAAAAGTGAAAAAGAAAAGCACACGAGGAATTTGTCTACATAGTCCCCCACTGTCGTCCTCGCATGCGGGTACGTCTACGTCTAAATTCCAATAGAAATTAGGATAATTTTTATATGCAAAATGTTTAATACAATGGAAGAGTTAGAAACAACAATACAAAAAAGTCTTCAATTTGATGTTGATGCTCCTCCTTTCAACCTTTGATCTTAAGCAAGATCAAATCAATCGATAGATGCAACCTATTCGCCGCTTAAGCTACTTTCTTGAAAGGATTTCAAACACCTCAATGATCCTTGAAAGGATTCTAACCACCCCAAGGGATATTTCGCTCGAGTAAATTCGATTGCAAACTATCAACACAAGATCACCGATTCTATCACCCAATCCTTGCTACTTCCTTAAAAATATTTTAACCACTCTAAGGTTCCTTGAAAGGATTTCAACCACCCCAAGGGATCTTTCACATGGATGAACTTTCGAACAATGTTGTACGAAAACCTCCAAATCAACCAATGATCTTGGAGAACAAACCTAATATTTTTTCCTGAATGAAGATCCCTACAAATCTAAATCCAAACCAATTGGAAATCCACAATTCTTTGTCTAGATGGCACCCGGACGGAACATCATCAATGTGTAATGTTGGTGTGTATGCATAAATTGGAAGGTTGAATGAGAAGAGAGAATTTATAGTTGTGGATCAAGTTGTGAATGATGCAAGAATGATAATTTATAGTTGTGGGACAATTAGGGAAAAAATGGCAAATTTGGAATCAAAAGAAATTAAAAATATGACCAAATCAAACAGTATGCGTCGACCTTAAATTTGTATGTGTCGACACATACAATGTGTTTAGGTCGTATGTGTTGACCTAAGGTAATGTTATGTGTTGACCTGAACAACTCAGAGGCTACAGGCTTAATTACACTAGTAGATGTGTCGACCTAAAAACGGATGTGTCGACACATAAAATAAAATAAAAATGCAATTTTAGTTTTCTTTCAGTATGTGTCGACCTAAAGAACGGATGTGTCGATACATAAAATAGAAAATTTTGAAATTCTAGAATTCTTTCAGTATGTGTTGACCTGTATGGATTTATGTGTCGATCTGAGACTTACAGAAGCCACAGGCTTTAAAAATGATTTACATGTGTCGACTTGAAACTCGAATGTGTTGACACATGAAACAAAAACTATGCAAAAATGGGTTTTCAATGATTTAGATCAATTTCAATATGCTTTTTGATGATTCCTAAGACTTATATTTCAGAGGAGTTCCATAAGACATAGGGATATTGTTTTACCCCAAAATGTTCCCTCTCTTTTCTCA